CAAATTTAGCTCTTCCTTCCCTGATTTCCTCCATGAACCCTGCCATGGCTTGCCTGAAGGATTTTAGTCCACGGTAACTTTGGAACAAAGCATTCTTCCGGAACCTGGAGGCCTCTTGTTCCCAGCTAAATTCTTCATAATGCTTCTCTAAAAACTTCTCCACCAGATCAAATGAAACCTACAAAAGCAAGATTAAGTTCAAAATGTCTTGCCATCTTAACTTGAGAGTTTCCAGTAGTTTCGTTTCCATACTTAACTTGATTTTCTGCTAATCCCATCTGTATGACTCCAGACGGATTACTCAACTCATTGTAAGGATTCTGGTCGTATGCTTTCCATCCACCATAGTAAGGAGAGTCCTCGCCGTGAGTGTTGGAGATTGCAACCTTTGATAGTGCAACAGAATTAGAATGCTCTAGAGCAGCCATTTCTAACTGAATTCTAAACTCCTTTTTATCTGTGTCTGCAATGAAAAAGGAGAAAGCAGTGTTTTATTGTATGAAAACTTTGTCAATCATTAATCCTTTATATAAGAAACAAGAGAAGGGCCTCCAGCTTTAATGTCGAGAATCGACACTGACCCCAGACAACCTTTGCAATAGCTGTCACAAGTCAACTTATTGAACAATTCAACGGCCGGCATTTTGTTTTAGCAGTTTAGTCGGACCAATGGTTCGCTTTCCTCAATTAGTAGCTACTCTACTTACTAATTTTTATTTTTCTTAAATAATAGTTGCCGAGTTTTCCTCTACACAAGTCCACCTCCCAACCTATGGCAGAACAAACCGTGTTCTAACATCTTTGAATAATTTTCCAAATCAGGCATGAAAAATTCATATTTTCTTATTACGAGAAAACTAACATTCATAAACTCCTTATTCATAATAACATACATTATATTTGAGAATATAATCTTCACACGAAAACCTTTAAATGAAACCTTGCGTGTATGCAACTGTGCATGCATGTTTTATAAATGGTTAAATTCTTAATTTAAACTTAAACTTTTAATTTTAAACAATTTTAGTCCCTAAATTATTTTTACACTTTTTTCGACCCTCAACTGTGTAAAATGTACCCTTTTTTTTTTTTATCCTTCCAGCAATTTTGTCAATTTAAGTTTGTATATTTGGCATTCTTTTATCTCTAACTTTTATTTTATGCACATTTAAGTCATCAAAAGAAATTAAAAAATGCTAACTAGACATATTTAATGAAAAAACTAATGAAAAGACAAAAAAAGTAATTTTTCATATATAGTTAAAGGATGAAAAAAGTGCAAAAATAATTCAAAAACTAAAATTATTCGAAATCATAAGATCAGGGACTAAATTTTGGCATTCAACCTTTATAAATTTCGACGCGGAAAACTGCAGTCTGAGGAACAAGAAAAGTTGGATTTTTTTTAGTGTTATTAATTCTAAGACCATGTAGAAAATTCAAAAGTGTCTGTGTTTTAGGTAACAAATAAGCAAAGTTAAGTAACTGTGTTTGTGTTGTCCTGAAAATGACATGGAAAACTGGCATTTGCAGACAAACTTTCAATTTGGACAGCCTGAGAAATGGACTTAATTTTAATTAACTCTCCATGTTTAAGATTAAAAACACATAATTAGTTCTTAATTTACTCAAGTCAATATCATCAAGGTCATGTTTGAAAAATTGTCGCCTCACATGTTGGCAGTTTGACAACATACGAAAGAGAAAGCGGTTCCTCTGTATGCAAGAAACGAGACAAAAAAATTGTTATTACCATGTTTGCAAGAAATTAAATCACCATAAATTATAAAAAAATTTCTCGAGGAAAAAACAGATAAGGATAGGGTAAGTAATGGATCACCAAAAATTCATATGATTCAATAACATAAACTTTAAGTCGGGTGAAAAACCCTACAGGGCGGGAACAACCATTTGCTCAATTTAGAGCTTCTCATATTTGTGTGTTTTTTGTATATATATATATAGAGATTAATGTTTATCTGCCTTACTTCTTAAAAATTAAGAGGGAAATCACCTTAAAACTACGTAATTTTAATAAAGTACTATAGAAAAAAATAAAAAATACTTTAATTCATACTTTAAAAATATGGTATTTTAGTTTTTTTAAATGAGGATTTATTGAAACAATATAGTTTTAAGATGATTTTTCTTTTAATCTTTAAGAAGTAAGATAGATAGACACTATTTCCATATATATATAGACAGGCACAGGGCCAATGTAGGACAAGCGGGGGCAGCTAAGGTTTTGAAAATTTTCAAATATGGTACATTAATTTTTATTTTCTACAAAATTTTGTTTTTAGAGGTTTGAAACTATTGGGACCATTCCAAATATATATATATATATATAATTAGGATTTAGGTAAAGGAATTATTTCTCTCCTTATGATTAATTTTTAAAATATGATAATTTGGTCTATGTAAGAAAAAATATTAAAAAATAGTTAAAATCTAATTAATTATATTAATATAACTTATATAAGTTTTTACATTAGTTATATATAACTTTTTTGTACAATTTATATACTATGAAAATAATGTTAAATTTATTCTATTCATATAAATTATACATTTTGAATTTAAAGTTGTTTTGATATAAGTGGCTATTTTAAAAAAAAAAAACTATATTTTTATACTTTTTTTAGGGATTTTAAAGTATATATATTCAAAAATAACTAAATATATCTAATTTTCTTGATAAACTAAATATGTAATTAATTCAAAGTTTTACATGTATAAATAAGTGATGCATCCATAAAATAAGTGATCAATGTAAAAATTAATTTAAATTATATTAATGTGAATTAATACATAACTCGAAAAAAAATTTAACCTTTCTCCTTGCCCCCTCAAACATTAATTTTTGGCTCCGTGTATGTATGTATGTAAGTATGTATATATATATATATATTGAACCTAGGGAAAATGGGTGACGAGAGAAATTTTTCAAGTGGTGTGAGAGCAACCACTTAAAGCCAAGCACTTTGAATTGATGGTAAACCATCAGTACTATTAAATTGATTTGTTTTGTAAGAATATATATATATATATATATATATATATTGAACCTAGGGAAAATGCGTGACGAGAGAAAATTTTCAAGTGGTGTGAGAGCAACGACTTAAAGCCAAGCACTTTGAATTGATGGTAAACCATCAGTACAATTAAATTGATTTGTTTTGTAAGAATATATATATATATAGATATATATATAATACCAATAATAACGACTCATGACAAAGAAAGCTTTGTTCTAATATTCTAAGACCTTGCTCTAGAAAGTAAGATGTCATCGCTTACCTTATCGCCAAACTAAGTAGGAACATTTACATAAGCCAATGCATCAGCAATGTATCAATGGTCACGTACGGTCGGTTTTACCAAAATTTGTTTGTAGCCAGGAATCAAAATAAGCATATGCAACAGACAACTTAATAAGAATAAACTTTAACTTAGGAAAGTGGCTAAGCATGTATTGCATCATAAGCCATCTATAATTATTCTCTTATTTAATTCACTTTTACCTTCTCTCCATCTTTAAGTATTAAGGCATTTGTTTTGTAGACCTCGAATATGCGGGTTGTTTGTGTGAGAGACCTCTTTTATGAGAAAGTTGACATATGCTAGTTTTTTTATTGATCCAAAATATTATTATTGTGATATATTTTTTTTAATGTTGGAATGAGATTTGAATCTTGCACTTTTAATTTTTTTAGTATAAAAAATTTCTGATAAAAAAATGATAATTATTAAAATATTAAGATATTTCCTTGTTAATGTAGTATTTAAGAGAATAAATAATAGGAGTTTCCTATTATTATTTCTTTTCATAAGGAAAATATAAAAAGAACTTTACACAGCGACAAGCTTGGTCAAATTTTGTTTTTTCGCCCCTAATGGTATTTTTTTTTAAAGGGCAGAAGAATTTACAATGTCTAACATGTCTGCACATGTCAGGCATTGCAGCCTTTTTTTTCCTCCAACGATGCTTAAGTCTTTAGATTGAAACAAGTTTTTTAATATATAAAATGATACTGATAAAGAAATATATAATAATATATTATATACGGAGACATTTAATAATACATTATATGTTTTGATATTATTTTAAAATTAAAAGATTAATTTATTAAATTAATAAATTTTGACATATTTATATCATTTATCATTTTCATATTTTTTTAATGTGAAACTTTAATTTTTCATATTGATTAAGAAATTACCTATTTTAATAATTTTGTCTAAGAATTAAATACATAAAATATAAATTTATTAAAAGTAATATTAATTACGATAACGTGCCATTAACATAATAACAAAAACGAGGTTCGAAATTGTACAAGGCGCCGGAGTTCTAGGAATCCCTGGTTCCATTTTCTGCCGAGGATGTTTTTGTTCTTGTCGTCTTTATAAGCCCTTTAAAATTAATTTAATATCAAATTAAGCCCCTCTAGGTTAAGAGAAAGAGGTCAAGAAATCATATAAAAAATAAATTTCTTGTTAATAGATATAATCAAATCAACTCACTTGTCTAAATGTAGTGTTATTGAATTTGTGATTTGAGAGCTAGAAAATCACAATTAGGTGATAGGCGGTTGGGTGCCGTATTAACTTGACCCTTGGGTGGCCATTTTATGTAGTTTGATCCCATATTCTTCAATTAGTCCAACACCCAACCTTTTTGGTCACAATAAAGGTAGTTGGTTGTAACTAGTAATGTTACATCTTGGAGGTATGTTTGGCTTAAAAACAAGGGTCCTTTTTTTAAAGGTTAAATCTCTTTCTTGGTCCCTCAACTATTGCATGGACCCTCAATTTGACCCCTAAACTGAAAAAATCCCTGACTTGATCCCAATTGTTTACCAATTTAACCCCAACTTGATTCTTTCATTAAAAATCCACTATTAACTCACAGGATTCAATGACATGTCAAAATTTTGAGATATGTGAGATGCATAAATGGAAAAAATGATGACATGGTAATATAACATGTTATATTCTTGCCCAACAACAAAAAAAAAA